TTTTCTAACCATCAGTTCACTGTCTCAAATGTGATAAGGTTTGGTTTATTGTTGCTAAAAGTTCAGTTTGGTGCGGCTGCTGTGCTACTCGAGACTGTGTCTGGGATGACTTCTGAAAATAAGTGGGGACTCCGTTCAGTAAACATGAAAGGAGAAGCAGACAAAATGTGTTTTGTTTAATGAATGTGAAAAGATGTCATTTCACTAAGGTTTCTTAAAGTTCCCTGCAGCTACATCTAAGTGTGGGCATACCGTTCCTAATGGGATGCATCAAGCAAGAATAAAGTCTGCCTTCACACCGTGGGGAATATTGACCTGAATAATAACCACACACGGAGAGGTTTGCTCATCCACATCCTCCTGGTAGACCACACACTAATTGGTAGAATAAAGGAGGTGATAATATTATCTAATAAACACTGCTGCCAACGGATCAGCATCTTTTGCTGTGCCCAGTGACTACATAGGTCCTAGAGAACCCACATTTGAACCTCAGGGAAGCCTCGGGAGACTACACAATGAAAAAGCTACAGATAAGGGGCACTGGTCTAGCCTGCAGCCACTCAAAAAAAGGTCACTTTTGCTTCAATATAGCTCTAAGGCCTCTAATCCAAAGTGAATATGCTGGAATTTTTCAAAAGACACGGATGTTCCAGGTGATTTTGAGCAATCCTGGCCCACCGGAGTCTCTGAGAGAGCTAATACCAAACCAAAGAGAAACTTTTGCCCCCAAAAGCTAATATTCTCATCTGTGATGAAATTATTAGACTCTTGAAGCTACCCAAAATGTGTAGATAGACAGGCAGTCCTGACCCAGCCCAAGATCAGCACTTAAAGAAGCCAGGGAATAGGGGTGCACGTCCTTAACTCAACCCTTGGGAGGCAAACTCAGGAGGACTGCTGGAGGTTCAGTCCAGCCTGGCACAAAACAAAACCCCATCTGTAGTAGCTTCAATGTAATTGGCCCCCATAAGCTCAGAGGGAGTGGCACTGTTAGGGGGTGTGGCCTTGCTGGAGGCAGTGTGCCACTGTGGGATCCTATGATCCAGTTATGCTTAGTTCGGTTTACTTCCTGTTGCCCACTGATCAAAATGTATTAACTCTCCACTCCCTCTCCAGCACATCTGCCTGCAAGCCACCATGTCCTGCCATGATGGCAGGTTCAGATGGACTAAACCTCTGAAACTGTAAGCCATCCAACTAAATGTCTTTTTTTTTTTTGTAAGAGTTGCTGTGGTCACAGTGTCTCTTCACAGCACTTGAAACCCTAAGACATCATCTTACTAGAAGGCTCCCAGACATAACAGCATTCCCAGCAAGCAGAAAATATACCTATATGTTACCTAGGACACTAGGTTCCCTTGGGAATCAGCACTGATCCTTGGTGTTCCAAAGGTAACTGGACTGGATCAGAATGGCATGATTAGGAAACTTGAGCTTTAGATATATGATGGGAAATTGCCCTGGAGTTCTCAGGCTCTTACCTGTTCAGCTACAAAAGGCCAAAATGCTTCTTAAGATTGAAGAGCAGAAAGGAAACTCTTGTGTGGGCTTCCACAGCTGGTGTATGGAGGGTCAGGTTAGGGTTAGGGGCGGAACTGTATTAGACATCCATCTAGCCGCACAGGTATACCAGGTTGTGGCTGTATTAGTGGATCCGTACCTGGTTCTCTTGCCTTCGCCCACACTTAACAGGAGAAACCTATCTCCCAGCACACACAGACCCCTCATACTTCTTTCAATGAGAGCAAATTCACCAAAACATGGACTCCAGGCAGTATAGGTCCAGCTTATGTGGAAGCTCGGCAGAAGTGAAAGGACCATTTTCTACAAAGAAAAAAAACAAGATGATTAGGATCAGGATGGTTGTCACCACAAATAAAAGAGCCCTGGCTACTCTAACAGAACAACCCCCGGAACAGGAGCACTAAGTATTTTAGCCGGCAGGGGAGGTACCTGAGTTTGAAATTTGACAATTTGGGTGACCAGTCATCAGAAAAACTGGTGTGAGCTGACCGCCAGCAGGAATGAGTTTCCCTCATAGAGAAAGGTTTCGAAAACCATGTATATCGACCCAGCGAAAAGTTTGGAGGCCTGAGAAATGTGAGTGTAAAAATATCCCAGATTAACTAATGAAAGAGGTTTATGTTATTTACCAGATCACAAAAACAAGGCCTGAATTCTATAAGAAAGCAGGCACCGACTTTCTGCCCAAGAAACCACGTCACCCAGGTTATGTTCCAGATGGAACATAAACAAAAAAATATCTTTCTGTTTACGTGAAACTCTGGAAATACACTCATGTGATATGGGCCAGTTACTGATGTGGGCAGTTACTGATGTTGCTTTGGCTTCAGTCATGATCCCCGGGATTTACTTTTATGGACACGCACACACACACACACGCACACACACACACAATCTTCTTTTGTTGCTGTTGGTTTCCTAGGGTCAGGATGGCTGCTTGAATGAGCTCAGAGGAAACGGCTTCATTATCCTTCACTCTAGAGGTAGCCCTCTAGCCAATTGTCCGTCACCCAGGGCTCACTTACAGACTCACACTCTAGCCCTCTGTCTAGAGGTTGAATTTATAAATTTCTTTATAAATTGCTATGTTACTCTATTACAATGAAAGCAAAGCTGTCTGCTCGACAATGGACAGTAAGCTACAGTCTGCTGCAGGCCTTGTTAACCGCCTGTTATTTTTGGTCCAGGTGGGGTAGGGCTCTATCAAGCATGAGGGCTCAGCCAACACCTCAGCTGAGGACAATTATCCTCAGTCTTTCCTGGGAATCTGACTCGTGTCCTGGCATTAGGAATAGGTGACGTTTGGGTCCCACCTCCTCCATTATGACGGACCCAGAACAAACAGATCTTTACAATTTCTGGATTGTAGACTGTACTGGGTTATTTTACCATCAACTTGACACTAACTAAACTCATCTAGGAAGAGGAACCCTCAACTGAGAAAATACACCTACCATATTGGCCTGCAGGCAAGGCTGTTGTGTGCGTTTGTGACTGATGACCAATGTAAGAGGGGTGCGGTTCTTTGTGGGCAGTACCTCTCCTCCTGGGTTCTGTAAGAAAGCAGGCTGAGCATGCCAGGAGGAACAAGCCCACGAGTATCATTACGTCATGGTCTCTGCATCAGCTTCTGCCTCCAAGTTTCAACCCTGTTTGAGTTCCTGCCCTTTCTTCTCTCAGTGATGGACTTTTATAAACTGTGAGATTTCTTCCTTTAGTTGTTTTGGGTCATAATGTTTTATCACAGCACTAGAGAGGAATGTAAAGAGGGGTGAGACAGGAACCCGCTCTCTTTCATGGAAAGAGGAAAGATTTCATAGAGGTAAGAGCTCTCTAGTGGCCTGGTTGCCTTGCTTTTCTGATCTTCACATCGAGCTCCAATATCTGTCTCTGAGTTTTTATTCTTTGTGCTACATTAGTGGGTTTTTTTCCCAAAAAAGCAAGAATGACTAGAATAGTTAACATCTGTCTTCTAATACATCATTTGCCAGATGTTGTACATCCCCTTGGCTTGAGTGTCTTATTTCCTTCCAGATATCCTAGGGACCTTCTGGCACTCTTGACAATAGTTGCATCTCTGATAATAGTTTTTAAAAAACATTATTGGGTTGCCTGCCACTCAGCAGCAAGGCACAGAGTTGCTGACAAGAGGGGAATAACAGTACTTGGGACAGGAGGGACACAGTCTGCTCTGTGGCTTCAGGAAGAAGGATGTGTGGGCACTGGCACTCTGTGTGTGTGTGTGTGTGTGTGTGTGTGTGTGTGTGTGTGTGACTTCAGGAAGGGTGTATGGACACTGGCACTCTGTGGCTTCAGCAAGGAGGACGTGGGGTATTGGCACTCTGTTTGGTGTTCCGCATCCAAGAGCATTACCACCTGAGAGATGGGTTTCCAGTGCTCACAACCAAATGAGTTCTGGGGCAGACTACAAAGATATGGATTCAGATTACTCAAGTCAAGGAGTAGACCAGCTGTAGAAAGTGACTGATACCATTAAAAATCAATCTTGGTGACAGATGAATCATCATGTGTGCCCTTGTTGACAGAGGTTTCTGTCCCACCAGGGTTTCTGTCCCACCAGGTCCCGCAGTCATTCAGTACCAAAAAAAAAAAAACCACACAGAGGTCTACATTAATCATAAACCAGTTGGCTTGGTACTTTGTGGCTTGGTACCTTTCATCAGCAAGACATTCGCATCTGCATCCTCTACATCTGAGTGACTACTACAGACTGAATCTTTATCTTCCCAGAATTCTCCTGTTCTCAGCACCCTACCCATACTTCCTGCCTGGTTGCCCCACCTATACTCTCTGCCTGGCTACTGACCAATCAGTGTTTTATTAAAATACAATTGACAGGGTACAGACCATTGTCCCACAGTATACCCTGAATCCAAAAGACTTTCCTTTAATGGGGCTGCCTCCTTGCCGTGTCCTCTGACAGTTCTATGTGGTGAACCAGGAGTTGAGCTGCCAGTCATACCAGAGGTCAGGAGATCCAGGCCTGGGTGTGTTTCTCAGTACTGTCAGTGACTGCTCACTGACATCATGGGCCTGCAGCCAGGTGATGTTGTCTATCCTTTGGAAGAGGCACATTTTTTACCTGAACCACATCAAACCACTGAAAATTCAGCTTCAGCAAGGACTAAGACTTCCCCTAAGCTCAAAAGCCTTTGAGGAGTTGAGGCAATTGATCGGATCGGAGTTGAAGAGTTTCAGACCAAATGGAACAACCCAATCCCTGAATAAAATGGAAATGGCTTTTGGAGATGCTGTGGATATCAACAGTCTTCAGGGTTTGGGTCAAACAAACCCTCGGGGCTAAAACAAAGTTCTTTTCGCTAAAGAGAAAATGAACTAGGAAAAAAAAAAGTCCAGCAGAGGCCAATTTCTTACTATTCATTAACTCCTAAGGCAATGCCACTGCAGATAAAAGTGCCAGGGACATTTTATACTGAAAGAACACTGCCTCTTTCAGTCTTCACTGAAGGTGCGTAAGAAGCTGGGGCGAATTTATGGAGGAATCTGGAAATTTGTATCCTCTTAGCAAGAACAGCAGACATTTCTATATGTCCACATGAAGAGGGCTGGTGAGTTTCATAAATTTCATAAGCTATTCCTCCAAATTTGAAATATGAAACAATATTTGCATATAAACTTTTAAAGCTGTGTTTGTCTATTGATTGCTGAAATAAAGACCTGTTTCACATGGAAAGAAAAAGAAAAATGCTTATTGGATATTCACAACAGCTATGTTTCTAACGCCTCACAAAATGAAACTCATCTATTTTGCCTCTGAGAAGTCTTAGAGGGCTCTTCCTCAAAACACCAGTTAGTGAGAAACCAAAAGTAGGAATCTGAGATTGCTGAGAGGAAGGGACCTTGGCAAAACAATGCCAGGAAGAGGTTAGAAGGCTAGGAGCTGGTGGGGGCGCGAGGGGGGCAGGGCAGGCAGGATTTGACTTGACTTCCGGCTATGGTTCTCTGGTCGCTGCAACAGAATACGGAAGTGACACAATGTGACTTCTGAAACTACATTGTATTTGTTATTCCATTGGGACACTTTAAGAACTAACCACGCCCATCCCAGCCACTTTTGGACCCTCCCCCCGCCGCCCTCTCTCTCTCTCTCTCTCTCTCTCTCTCTCTCTCTCTTGCGTGTGTGTGTGTCTTTGTTTAATGTTTGTCTATATCTCCCTTTTTTAAGTAATAAATGTCTAGCTTTATGTATAGCCTTATGTCCATTTACTGTGCCGTTCACCGTATCCAGCTGCCTGACTCTGCCACTCACCCAGGGACCCTGTACTGCTCCGGCGGCAGCTTCTGCCTGGCTTGCAGGCCGCCCGGGCCATCATATCATCATATTCTTTTTAAAAGAACAATAGTATTGACTGCAGAGCTCCTGCCAGGGTTTCTTGGAACACTGGCTCTCGGGACACTCCATCACGGAACACAGACCATCTCTAGATGACACAAGAACTACTTGTAGGTTCATCAAGAGCTTCACCTTCAAGTCATCTCAGCCAGGGCAGTGAGTGAACATGTAGGGGAAGCCCTGAGGCCTCAACCTACACAAAGAACTACAGTCAGCTAAGACATGCCAAGAATAGTCCTCCCCGGGTAGAACACACAATTGGTTATCCAGTACTAAATGGTCAGCCCTGAAAACATAATGCAAGTAACAGTTTACAGACATAGCGGGTTATATTATATAAAACACATTTTATATAATATAAAAGGGATGGTATAATGTAAAAAGGAGACCATGAATTTTAAAAAGAACAGGAGTGGTATATATGGGAAGGTTGGAGGTAGGAAAGGGAAAACGATGCAATTGTTTGGGTGGAAAGTTCCACCCTAACCCCCTCCCAGGTGAGTTGCCTTAGTCCAGACTCCACCTCCCAGAAAGCCTACCAAACAGTGACCCCCTCCCCAGAGAGGCTCAAGACCACTTCCACAGGCTATTTAATCCCCCTCTACCCCCAGAACAAACAAGTGGTTTTCTGGTCTTCCTTTCCCATTTTCGCTCTGAGGGTCTGGAAGGCCACCTGGGAGCCCTGGCATCCAATAAACCTCGGCTTTTTCTAATTCGGTTTGGTTTGGTCTGATTTGGATTATTGCGTCAGCAGAGAGGTTTATTGGGGTACAAAAAGTTTTCAGTAATTATCTCAAAATTTAAAGAAATGGTTGAAAAACACAGAGTATAAAGTTATCAAAGAATTAACAAAAGTCATTAAAATAAAAACAAATAACTAGAAACAGAAGAAATTCCGTCAGGAGCTGGAGAGATGGCTCAGTGGTTAAGAACATTTGCTGCTAGTGCAGAGGACTGGGGTTTAGTTCCCAGCACCCACATGATGGGTCACAACCTTCTGTAACTAACTCCAGTTCCGGGGTATCCATTGAGCCCTTTCTGCGTCTGAGGACACCAGACAGACACTAACATGATACACATGCATATATGTAGGAAAAACACTCACACACATAAATTTACAAAAAAATAAGAATTTATGCCTGCATGAAAGAAACATTATATCCACCACAACAATTACACGTCAGAATTGGTTCTTTAAAGCCCCACCCCCACCCCACCCTCATAGCCCTCTAGTTACAACTCCCAACTTAGCCAGAGTAGCAAAGAGTAACCCAGGCTTTAATTGGTACTTTCTGCGCACTCCTGCCCCCTGGTGGCCACATTCTCTCTATACAAAATCAACATTTCCTGCCTACTGGGTTTCATTCTTCCTGAGATTTTATGAAAATTGTATTCTTGGGTGGATCTTCCTTGATGTACCAGGCCTTAAGTACTAAGATTTTTTTTTCTGGAATTCTTTGGTATTTTTATCCCATCATTGTGTTCTTTCTGGAAGTTTTATCAGAGATCCCGAATTGATCTTTTACTGTCCTGAGTTTTCTTTCTTCTATCCTCCTACGCCCCCCTATTTTTTGAATGGCAATGATTTTAGAGTCATCAAAAAGAAAGTACCAAAACATCTTACTACATAAACAAAGCCATGTTTCCTAAAGCCTTAACTTACCTGTCTTGGCAATCGCTTGGAGGAAGGGGAAAGTTGAGATGTGTATGAAGTTTTGGACTCTGAGCGGTCTTAACAAGCTCAGACTTGATCGGGATTGGATAAGAATGGTGGGTAGGGATTGTGGTCACAGCAAGCAAGGGTCTTGAGACCAGTGTTCCTGCTTGGGAGTAACCAGTGCTTGATGGTTAACTGAACTGTTCAGTGTTCAATTTCAATGAGTTGTTTTAGGCTGAAATAATCACTTCCCAGAGTAAAGAATTCTTCCTTTGCCCCTCTGGGAAAGTTTCCTGCTCGTGCATCTTAGCGATGTAATAGAAAACTAAAGTATTGTAAAGATGAAGTGTAAACCGTGGGCATAGACAGCCTCAAAGCTTCAAAGTCTCCCTGCCTATCTACCTTCTGTTTTTTAAGCGAGGATGTTGCTATTGTTTAGTTAGTCGGAGTGGTTGGTTGGTCGGTCAGTTTGTCCATTTGTTTACTCTTTGGTGTTATAGACTGACCCAGAGCATTGAATACACAGCACATACGCTGCCAGTGAGCTGTACCCACAGTCTGCTCCCTTTGGTTGAATTTTTAACTCTGCTATGGCATCTTTTTATTTTTACAGCATTCTTATTTCTTCTGCATGCTCTTTCTCAAAAGCTCCTTTCTTTCAAGGGAAGGAAGCCTGCTGAATCTTTTGTTGCTTCCAATAATAGGTTTGAGGTCTTTAAATGATGTTTTCTTGTCAGTCTTTGGAGGTATTCCTCAACTTTCTGGAGGTGATCTTTGACTGTGTGTTTAAGAGCGAAGACTATCAGTTAGCATATGCATCAATTAAGCAAGACAAATAAATTCCAGGAGTCTGCTGTACAGCATTCCACAATAAAAATGTATGGGCTGCTAATGAATAAAAGTGATCAATAGTCTCACCCACCTATGAATCCTATAAACCTTAGTAATGAATAACCTGCAGGCAGAATGTACCCTCTAGTATAATAGTGGTATGGCTGTTATGGGAGTAACCAATCATTTTCTGATTGGATTTGAGACCTGCCCCGCAGGAAAGAAATTGTGTCTGGTTCTATAAAATTTGGGACAATCTTGGGGCTAAGGAAGTCATTGACCCTAAGGGGAGCTGGCTATCATTGTTTCACTAAATGGTTATCCTGCCAAAGAGTCTTCTAAATACTCATGTTTATACATAATATTAGTGTCCCATCCAGTCTTCATCAGTGAAGTTTCTTGTTGCAGTGGATGACAGCTAATGCAGAAAGAACTCACCAACATGCATGCCTAAGATACATGATGATGCAGTGCTTGGCCCTAAACAAAACAGCATGGCATGGCCATTGCGCTCATGCCCTCATTGCAGGTGTGGTTACCTGCACAAGGTCAAAGCCCTCAATGTTTGGTCATGAGTCTCTGGTCCTCATAGACCATCAGCAGATATCGGCTCTTGGGGAAGGGGTGTCATTTTATTCTGGGGCATCACCACTGATAAGTTGCCCATGCTCCAGTAAATAACCTCCCATCTGTGCCCAGGCAATAACAAAATAATAATAACAACTTAGTGGGTCACACACAGAAAGACATGAAAGTAAGATGGAGACTTAATGAGGGGAAAGTTCAGCTAGAGAGGGAGGCAGCTGATGGGAGAGAGGAATAGAGATCGAAACGACTAAAATTCATTATGTTTACATACGAAATGGTCTTACAAAAAATTGCAAAGACTCTGGGTGGATACATTTCACCTTGAGTAGTCTTAGTATAGTAAAATATGTGAGAAGACCGATGAGACCCGCAGCAGGTCAGGTCTAGGGGCTAGGGGTTGGGCTGGTCAGGGTTGATGGGCAGAAGGGTTCGCCTGCTTCAAGCCAGCAAGCTTCCCAGTGGGGATGCTGCAGTCATGTGTGGTCTGAAGAGGCTGGCCAGGCTGGCAGCATTCTCAGAGCAGAGTACGGGTGGGGAGGGCAGATGTCTATGTTTTATCCTGCCTTTCAGAGAAACCTCACTGTGAACACAGCAACGCTGCACGGGGCTGCGCCTTGTACTCCAGCGCTTTTCTCCTTTCAGAGACGCCTTGTACCTCATTCACTTGAGCTTGTCTGGGGTCTGGAGAACAGACTTGCACTGAGCTTCCCTCCCTGACTGTTTAGTGGTTATCACTCTGCTAAGTCAGTTCCCACTATTGCATCTGCTCTGTAGCTGCCAAAATGTGGTCACTGTTGTCATTTTACCCAGTGTCTTGGTCCTTGTGGGTTTATGCATTTTGAACCTATTTGTCGTTTTAGAGGTTTGGGAACAGGCGGCAGAGACAAGTGAATGTTCTCGTTCAACCACCTCTAACTAGGACACTGGCTTCTCCTAGTTCTGTGATTTAAAATGCATTTTAAGCGAGGAAAGAGTGAGTGGATAACTGGATGTGATGTTGGGGGTGTTGTATATTGGGAACCTCATGAGAAAAAGGAAGATTTGGTCTTTGAGAAGGTTCGTGGAAGAGATGAACTGTGTGTGTGTGTGTGTGTGTGTGTGTCTGTCTGTCTGTCTGTCTGTCTGTCTGTCTGTCTGTG